TGGTATTCTCGTGTTTGTGGACAGGTTCAGCAAGATGGTACATCTTGTTGCTGTACCTGAGTCGATCACAGCAGAGGGCTGTGCTCGCGTGTTCATCGATACAATCTTTCGATTGCACGGTTTACCCCGTGAACTTGTGTCCGATAGGGACACCCAGTTAACGGCTGAATTTTGGAGTTCCGTGTTCCAAACACTTGGATCACGGCTCACAATGTCTACTTCTGACCATCCAGAAACTGATGGTCAGACTGAACCCTCCAATCGCGTCCTCGAAGAGACTCTTCGAGGGTACGTCCACTCGTTTACGAGTTGGAGTGAGTTCTTGTCGATGGTCGAATTCGCCATCAACAACTCCGTGCATGCGTCCACGACGCATACACCGTTCTACGTGAATGACCTTCGCCATCCACGTGTCCCCACCTTAGTAGAGGGTGACTCTAGTTTGAGGGGGGGAGGGACTCGCTCGAGCGAGAACCAATCTGGCTCTTGCTCATCACGCGACGACGTTATGGTCGACGCGAAAGTAACCGAAGTCGTACCATTCGACTTCGGTGAAGAGGAAGAAAGTAAGAGCGATGACGCTCTTACTGATAACGATGCTGAAGATGTCAGCATCGTTCGAGGTATCACAAGTGAGAACAGTATTGTTCTCGCTGAATTAGTAACCGATATCTCTGCATTGCATTCACAATGCACTGCAGCCAAAAGCAACGAGTCAGCTGAGGATTTCCTGCTGACTCGTGAAGCGGTAGTCCGTTTCGTGCAAGACTCCATCGCAGAAGCGGTGGATAAGCAAAAGCGAAACGCAGACAATAATGGAAGGGCAAATGCTCAAACATTTATTGAAGGTGATTTAGTTTTACTGTCAACAGTAAACCTACCTAAACATGTAGTGACTAACGTGGGCAGCAATAAATTGTTGCCCAAGTACATCGGCCCGTTTCGTGTATTGCGCCGCCTAGGCAACGCATACACGATCGAGTTGCCACGCAGGATGCGTACGCATCCTACGTTTTACGTGGGACGTCTTCGTCCGTACGTTCAGTACGCGGCTTCTTCGAACGACGAAGATAGCCATTACTCTCAAGAATCCCCTTCAGATTCTTGTTTTCACGAACCAGATTCGATACCTGGTCGTGTAGAGATGAGATCTTCCCATGATATTGGACGATCTCCTGACGAGCTGTCGCCAGCTCGTTACTCAGAGAATGAAGTCGCCGTTCATTCTTTAATAGTGCGACAGCATTGTTTGCCCGAGACCTCTCATGGTCAAACCCAAGCTGTCGCACAATGTTCTCTAAGCGGCGACGCTTATCCCGTTCGTGATCAACATCACAACGGAGCTCACGAGTTACACGGGCAAACCCGTCTAACTCAGCAGCCAAGTCCGATGAAAGAATCGGACAGGGTTTTTCCTCCACCACCGCATCCGCTGGTAGACTCGAATGCTTACTAAAGCATCGCGAGGTGAAGGGAAGTCGGACGAGTTATCTCGTCCGGTGGCGTGGCTATCCGCCTTCGGCGAATAGCTGGGAACCTCGGGCCCAACTGATGGCCGACGTTCCCGGCCTTGTCGAACAGTACGACAAGGGGCACCCGATGGTGAAGGACCATCGGAAAACGAGCGCCCAGCGCGCTCGTAAAGGGATTGCAAAGTAGCAATCCCTTCACGCATCTTAAAAGAGATGCGAGCCCTCCACCAGGGCTCAGTAAGGAGGTACGCCTCCTTAGGCGCTCTTGACGAGGTGCTCAGGCACCCCGGGCATGGGTCGCCCCAAGAGAGGCATAACAGGCCTGCCTCTCTAGATAACCGGTGCAAACGATAGCATGAACCGGAAGTACTTCTTATTGCGGCTAGCATGAAGTCTTTGAAGCCAAGCCTCTTTCCCAACGTTTAAAACGTTGGTGATAAACGCGTTCCAAGATTGGAGGAACGCGTCAGCCTCACGCTTCTTGTGTGGGCCATACCATCGATGTTTAAGGAACACATCGATGTAATAATCGTTCTCAGTGCGAAAGTTCTTCGCACTGGCGTCAAGGCCGTGAAGCTTTGACGCATCAAACAACGGTATGGGGAACCGTTCGTTGGTCTTTCCAGACCAACGATCAAGCAGATGCTTAGATAGCATCCATGGTTTGCGATCAGGAGCAAGACGCAATACGTTGCGGTCTAAAGCCTCCTGCTTGGTGTCAACAGAAGTACCGACACCACGAGCATTAGTGTCAACAGAAGTACCGACACTATGATTATTGATGTCAGTAGAAGCACTGACATCACCCTTACGGTCCCCACCCGAGTCACTATCCTTCGACTTGTTTGGCGAGTCGTCTGATTCATCAGACGACCCGAACATTTCACGGTACATTGATTCACTCAATGTACCACGATCCCTCTTCGTAGCATTAGACGACGAGGTATCACCCCGGGGAGAGCCCGGGATGACTTTGAGCCGGATGCGTCATCCGACTCACCAGAGTAGTCAACGACTAACTCTGGGTCAACATCTTCACGTGGCGAAGCGCTACGTGAACCTGCAAACAGGCGTTGCAGGCTGATGTTGACTTCCAGCAGACACATAAGTGTCTGCTGGCTGAGGCTGTGAAGCCTCAGTAGCGGCTGCACACAGGCGTGCAGCCGAGCTCTTGGCTGCCTTAGCAGCGACGCGCATGGACTTTGTCATAGCGTAATTGTTGAATGAAAGAAAATTCAACAAGTTCTCCTTATCCATAGTCACTAAACAGTCACTAATGTGACTGTTGGTTGAGGGGGAGTGATGTAACGGGGCGAGCCCGTTACATAATATTGACACTTATATGAAGTGTCGATAAAAATATTATTATAACTAATAATATTTTTGACAATATTACCTTTTCTTATACTATTGTTCCTGATCTCCTTGAAGTTGGAGATGCCCTCTCATTGGTTGATCTGGGCCATCATATCAACCAACGCGCTGACCAATGACCGATGGACGCGCGCAATGAGTGGAGGGCAAGTTGTCATCATACATAGTTGTAGTTTAATATAGTTAACATAGGTTATAACAGATTAGTTTTATTAAGATAGTTAACTATATTAAATACAGTTTTCTTTTCCTCTACTTCTAAGCGTTTGTTTAGAAGTAAAGCTTCCTCTGCCTCTTGTGTAAGAGAGGTAATTGAGGCACCTGCTTTCACTGTAATCAGTGAAAGTAGACTATACTGTAATCAGTATAGTCGGAGGGTGCCCCATTACACGTGCTGATAAGCTGCCAGAACAGGTTGCGAATGTTGCTTCGATTACAGCAAAATATACAGCTTCCAACGGCCATTGCACTGAACGAGCCATAAATACGCTGAGGAATGCATTCTACTGGACGAGAGGGGTGTCATTGCTGGACACAAGAGCCCTTCGTTCATGAGTAGCTTGGGGAGATGTACGTACCAAAGTGGAAAAGTTTGGCGAATGGAAGGTGTTGGATGGATAGTTTCAAGAGTCTTCTCCCAATAGCGTGAACACTTACATACGATGTAGAGTATCGTAATGGGCTTGCTGGGTATTGGTAATCGACATTGCTGTGCGTAAGGGCTTTCCACCTCGTTTCCAAGCACAAGAAAAATGTGCTAGTGTACCGACGATTGACCAAATTTGAGCCAAATAGTCTCTTTTACATAAGTTACGAAGATGGCAAGGTCAGTGCGGTTTGCAGTGCAGAGATGCAAAGCTCTGAAAGGCATTAACATACCCGAAGAGTTCATTCGCCAACAGGACATATCGAAAAAGCTGTTGCTGAATGGATATCAGTACCGCGATATAAATGCAGACGTTCAAGATGCTGGTAACATCGCAGGAAGTGGATCTGAAGTCTAGTAATGAATTGATGCGTACAGCAGTCTGTTGCCATGTTTATCAAAGACACATCACTTCTTGATGGAAAGCCTCATTCACAAGACTTCTATATAATGAACTAACATGAGACATCAGAAACACTGAAAGAAATATGCTCGACATTTTGACGTCGCTAAAGGATACTTGCGTCAATGTCCTGGAGATCCAGCGATTGGCAAAGGTACAGCTTGTGTATACAACATCGTACAACAATAACGTCAGTAAAGCACACGGCTGTTCAAAATGATTCACAACACACCTCAGCTTCAAGGCCTTGCGGTCACGCAGTTCAAACTTTGCTTTGACAAACGCTGCGACCTGCATCACATTCATCGTGAGCTTCTCCAGCCACGTCCACTTTGTACTCAAACGCAGCTGAGATGGGGATAATCGGGGCGCCAACAGCGACCGTAGCGGCCACAAATTTTTTATGTCGGCGACACGTTCAGCATCGTAGCCATAAGAACATAGGAAGAAATGATGCGACCTTCTTTTATTGAAGCAGCTCCGAATAAAGCGTTAAAGAATTCTTACTCGGTATCAATATAATTTTAATAGTCAGCCAATCAGAATGGAAGGATGTCTCACGTCTTGGCCCCAATATAGTGTCACATACAGTCTGTCATATTCATTTACGAATAGAAAATTCCTGTCATTCCCTATGGCGGCTGAAAACGAAATGTGTATGTTAAATTGCGCGATCGTTGGCGCGAGTGGAAGCGCGTTCACGATCATTATTGAGAAGTGGAAGACGGTGGCTCTTTTGAAAGATGAAATCAAGGCGGAGAATGCAAACACAATCACATGTGACGCAAAGGATCTGCAGCTCTTTCTGACGAAGAGGAATGGTGTCTGGCTGTCCTCCAGCACTGAACACGTCAAGAAACTCAAGGAGGGAATGATGACTTCTCTTCTTGAAGAGTTAACGGAAAAGGACCAAGAGCTGCAGGGAGAAGATCCGATTGATGAGCTTCTTGAAAATGTAAGCACTCCAAAAGCAAAAGAAATTCACGTGCTGGTGGTAGTTCCGTATCAGGAACAACACGTACAAAGTAAAGATGTCAGTGAGGCAGCACAGATGCGAGAAGCAAGAAATTGTTTATTGCGGACTGCGCAGCAGCTTGAGCAAGCGATGGCCTGCTTGCCACACAAATCTTCAAATTCTTTGTCGAATGCGGCACTTGGTGAGCAAGAGCAAAAAAAATTGAAAGTAACAAAACAGGTCATCAAATTTGCACCAGTCGAGGACGAAAAAGCATTTTGGTCGAAGGAGACTCAGATTAAAGCTGATGCCATTACGAATGAGGCTGATTTTGACGCATTTATTACTCCTTTCTTCAGCAGCATACTAGAAAGCTGTGGTTTGGTATACGTGAATAGTGAGAGGTATCAATGGTTATCTCAGGGTTTTAAATTATATAAGAACAAACACCTCAAACCGGATGGATTTGCGACCCATCCTGGAATGTATCGTGTCAAGCCAGAACCACAAGATTATGTTCATTGCCCGGATGGATTTCGATTTGGAGTTGCAGAAGAAGAATTGTTCGACTGCCTCATCCTGTTCGAAAGCAAGCTTAGTATATCTCACGCTGCGTTTGGCCAAGTAGTAAAATACCTGCAAAATCTTTGCCCCGAGGCGTCAGCATACGCCATTCTGTTTGACCGCCAGTCATTCTGGTTAACCAGTAGCTACAAGGGTTATGTTTACAAAGTTCAAAAGGCGAAGTGGGTCGACATGGGTTCGAAATCATTGTTTCAGAACTTCATTTGTGAGAACACGTCGCCATGGGTGGCCTACTTGACCAACGCCTGCGAGGCATTACATGTTAATGTGGTGGAAGGCGATGCATTTCTCGGCCGTGGCGCATATGGACACGTTTTCAAGGTTACTGGGCAGGATGGAAAGATTTTCGCGCTGAAAATCGTAACGGATGTAAGACGTCTTCGTCGGGAGCGACGAGCCTTGTTAATGGCCGAGCACACAGGCTTGACGATTAAACCTATTGGAGATGTCACCGCAACTATGGAAAGCGGTGCGCTATTACTGTGTCCTGTCGGGAAACCTCTACCGCGACCAACGACTCGAGAGGAAGTACGAAGCCTCTTTTACATGTTATGGCAGCTTCACGCGAATAACTTGGCTCATGGAGATCCTCGTGTGCCGAATGTGATCCTCACTGAGGAGAAGACTCTCTGGATTGATCTTGTGATAGCAGAAAATGCGACCCCTTATTCGAAACGACGGGATGCTGAAATACTTACACGTTCCATTCTGAGACTCCCTTACGAGAATATGCTGAGCCTGGCGCTGGTGCAGTCGCTTGATAGCTATTATCAATGCGCTACGCAAGAAAATCTCTATCATTTGGCTGAAGAAGTAGCATCAGCTGCAGGTTTTAGTGACCAGGAAACGCTCTAGCAGAAAGCGAAACCCTGTCGAGCCGAATGACGTCGTGGTGATGGCGCAATAAGTGATTGTGATCAAGGTTTTGAGTCAGGACAGGAACGATCTAAAACGTTGAACAGGCTTAAGAGGTAGCAAAGGTTTGCGAGCTAAGGACCTTTTTTGCATTTTGCCATTAAACATTACTTTTAATAAGTCGTAAACTTGATCCACAATGGTACTGGCGTTTGGTAAGCACAGAACAAGCAAGAGTTCAGCCAGCAATAAAATAGCACACATACCAGCGAAAAGACATTAGCACGAGGCTGAGGGTCATCCTTCTAGGAACGATCGACAATCCATGTTGAAGATGTCGCAGACATTGCATTGCAACTTGCCAGAATATGGCTCAAAGCACTAAATTTACACAGAATAATGTGACCGTTGGCAGGCAGCAAATTCTCAAGTGAGCTCCTGACTGTTTACTTGCAAAAAAACGAGTGACATCACGTAAAAGTGGTTGTTGCCTGCAGCTTCGTCGATAATACATCAACGGTTCAAGCACGCTAGTTTGTGCGTGTCTACTGCATTGGATAGGGTGTCCATCACAGTGCTGCAGATGCCATTCGTCCTCTCATTTTTCAAGCATTTTCATTCAAGTCTTTAGAGATGCATCCTCTCGAGCCACTTGTAACCAGATTGCAAGTCTGTGTGTCTTGTTCTTCATGGCCTTTCTAATCACTTCATCATATGCACGAGTGTACATAGCGTCCTCAATCATGGCAAGTTTTTCTCACAATCCAACAATATCGTTGTACCACCTCGTTCACTGAAGTATGAGTCGGAAGAAGGGGAAGAAAAGAGGTATGTTGCTACGTTTACATCTCCTCTCCTTAACCATCTCAGCATTTTTGCTTTATTCTCTTTTTATAGACGTGTAACCCACGACACTTCAGCTCTTATGACGCCGCTACTTTACCGAGCTACAGACCCCTACAGACCCAAGAGCTGAAGTGTTACAAGTCATTTGCGATCAAGACCTGGCGATGCAGAGCTCTACACCGCTATACGCCTACATCTTCACTATTCGATAGCTAGCTACGACGGCCGAAGTGCTGCTGCATTTCGACTTGACACGGGCGTATCCAATCAATAGCCGCCCAATATCACGGTGGAAGCCAAGCACGGCTTGTATGATACGGAGACGCAGAAACTGACGCGTGGGATGGAGAAACTCGCGCTAGAGCCAATGCGAGACGCATCATGTACGATCTCGTGGTCTTTGCCACCGACTTCATCCAAGACCATCTTAAGGACCAACACCACTTTTCGACCAAATGATGACTCGGCAACAGGATAGAGAGACACACAGGATACTATGGTGGAGGACGCAGTGCTGCAGCAACAAGAAGAACAGTTTCGAGGAAAGAATGAGGCAATTTTGGCGCTTGTTGACGCTGTGAGAAAAAAGGAGAGACGATGACGAAGACATGAAGGAGACGGAGGAGACACCGATCTAATATTGTTGGCGACTGTACTGGTAGAGAGGGTGGGAGACATCAAGTAGTTACCAACAGCAGATAAATGCAGGTTCCACGCGGGATGAAAGTGTGTAAAGTGTGTTGGATTCGTACTCGGATGAGTTGAGCCTGGACGCAGTGGCGGCTTCAAAACGGTAGTAGTCCAGGTATCATGGTGATTTTAGTGAGTAGGACTGCTAGGACGCGAAGGATAGGTAATGCAGGTACGTAATCGTCTAGACCGACAGTTTTAACTTTACGCTGTCAAGAAGGTCAAGCTAGACCCGGACGACAAAACGATGAAGAAGAAGATTTGCGTGAAGTAAAGACACGGTACGAATGTAGCACCGACATATCGTGCGGTTCTTTCAGGCATGGATTGAAGGCAAAGGCACGATAGGCAGCAGCACGGGACTGTAGCCTGTATCGACGTCTCGCCATGACTCTCGTGGTCTGCGTAGTAAAAGACAAACATACATGCTACCTTCGCATAAAAGCGCATCCGAAAGCTTTCCTGATGATGGCTTTGAGTGGGAAGTGCTAGAAGAAGCTCCGATGGACGAGGTTGACTTCAGTGACGATGGAGATGTTGTATATCTCGGCGAATAACGGCCTCATAGAAATCCTGTGATCGAGGACAAGAGGAAGCTCGAGAAATTGTACATGCAGATGGAGATTTTTTTGCGAAGGAAACGCTCTCAGAGAGGCGACAGACAAGGGAGGTCTATGGAAAGACGCCAACTAAACTTGGATGATGTGTCACCAAATCCGGGAGGCGCTTGTCTATATTCATCGTCAAGGCATTATCACCGCGATATCAAGCCGACTAACGTGTTTCTGGACTCGGCCGGAAGTGTAAAGCTAGGAAATTTTAGACTCGACGTTCAACCTTCCAAGGTCACGGAAGACGACGACTGTAACGGGGTCACACGACGATTGGAATTTTGTTCCGAATGATTATAATTAAAGTTTCTATATTGAATATAATGTGTTCTTTAAACTTCTTTATAAAGAGGTATTAAGTATAAGCGTTAAGATACGGTATTACCGAATACCGTATCCTATCAAATAAGATTCGATAATCGATAACGCTGTACTAAGTACATCATACACAGATGTTTAGACGATATGTCGTCCAATAGCAAAGTCTGCATATAATAATTACTATTATAGTAATTAATCTAGTGTAGTGTACTTAGAGTAGGACTATTCATAAAATCTTAAAGCATAAAAATAATACCAGTTTTCCTTTTGAGTTTAAGATCGCAAGTCTCGATAAGACTTATTCTCTTGTGCACTTCGTGCGTTGGTTTTCTGAACCTTTAAGCTTCTAGCTTGCTCTTGCACTCTGTGTGTTGGTTCTATGAACCTTAAGCTATCGCTTGTAGACTAGAAGTTCCTCCTAGTTCCTTAGAACAAGTAAAATCTTAGTCGTTCATAAGTTCCTTAGAACCAATTCGCTTTTAGCCGTCAACTTAATCAGTTCTATAGAACTGAGAGGCTTTTAGCCTCTAAGTCTTCCTCTGGCTAAATAGCTGTGTAGCTCCGCTACACTTGGTAGCATTTGCAGTCAATCCTACACCTAAGTCTTTAGGGATGACCCACTGTGAGGATGGAGAGTCAAAATCACCTCTCTGAGGCGCAACGACTCGCACTAGATAAATTATCTGCGTTCGTCGGGCCCGGTCAAATCGAGGCCCTTTTGGCCCAAGGCCCGGAGGTTCTTAATGCTCGCCTTAGGGCCTTCATGCGTTATGAGGCAACGCTCCTCGGGCAGGTCCATGACCAGGCAGCGTCAGCCGCGCCTATACAGTACATTCCGGTACCTGTGACCGATGCAGAGCCAAAGGCTCGTCCACTTGTTTTAAGTGTCAAGACCTTCGAGGGGAAGGAGGGAGAGAACCTTCTCCTCTGGATCCGAGAAGTTGAAATGGCAATGGATGCCGCCATGCTTGTATCCGATAAGCAACGAGTTGGCTTGGCCATTTCTAAGCTCGGTGGAAGAGCTAGAGAGTGGGCTCTAACGAGCGACGTTTTTGTAATTGCTTTCGAAGCATTCCACGTGGGAAATGCTTAAAAAGCAATTAACTTGCGTGTTCGCACCGCCTAATCAGGCTTATCGCGTGCGCTCACGCTTCTTATCTACCCGACAGGGTAAAAAAGAATGGTCAGACTATGTCCAAGAGCTGAGAACTTTCATTGCTGCTATGCAGCAGGACCCTATGGCAAAGGAAGTCCGAGTATCCATATTTATAGAAGGACTTCGTACTGGGGTCGCCAGGGCAGAGGTTTCCCGTGTCCAGCCTTCGACTTTCGAAGAGGCATTAAGCATAGCGTTTAACGCTGATTTTAAATTCAAATCTGCTCGATATGGTCTGCCATGGTATCAATCAAATGCCTCTAACAGGGCGGAACCCATGGACCTCAGCCATGCTGAAGAAGCTGAGCTTCAAGCTGCTGAGCAGCAAGGTAGCATCCGTAGATGTTACATGTGCGGAAGCACTAGGCATCTCCGCCCTAGCTGTCCGTTGCGAAAGCAACGTTCAAATCGGCAGAGCCGAAACCCTGCTCCTAACCAAAAGGCGAGCACGGCAGGGGAAAACATCAGCTCCCAACAGGCGCGGGGCGCCGTACTGGGAAAACACTAAGCTCTGCTGAACCTTTAGGAGGTAAAGGTAAACAGGGCTTTTTCCCAGGTGGTTCTGTGAATGCTTCCATGGAACAGGAATAAAAGCCAGGCTTGTTGGTTGTGTCGGCAATCGGTAAGGGGTTTAAAATCCATATTCAATTCTTATTGACTCTGGGGCGTCAGGTAATTACGTCCGACGTCGTTCCCTTGAAGAGAGTCAGCTGTATACTGAGGCGCTGGAAGCGCAAGAGGGTGACAGTATAACCGTTCGTCTCGCAACAGGTGTACTTGTCACCGTTACTAAAGCTCCGTTGAACTTGGGTGTGAAGTTTATAGACGTCAATAGCGTTGAACGCTGTCTTGTCCTAGATTTGGACTCGAGATATGATCTCATTCTCGGTATGGCCTGGCTGGAACGCCATGAGCCATGAATCGATTGGAGATCAAAAACCTTAGGCGCAACGCGCAATGTTCCTAGCGAAGCTTTGGAGAGTCATGAACCCACCTTTGCTAAGAAACAGAAGCGCTATTGGCGCGAGCCATTAACTGAGTCAATTAGTGTGCTGGAAATTGGAGTGTTGGAGTTGATAACTCCGATGTCAACAATAATAGTGTCGAGCAGAGCTCAATGACACTTAGTGGAACGGCACGTACTCCCTTGAGTAATACTCAAAGTAATATCGAGACACTGGATGTCGGTAATTACATCGGCTCTCGTATATAGCAAGTTAAGGTCGAAGACCTAGTTAGTGATATTACCTGCGATAGTGACTCACTGGATATTGTAATGACATTGGCTCTCGTACAGAACAAGTTAAGGTCGATGACCTTGTTAGTGATATTAGCTGCATTGCGATTCACTGGATGTCGGTAATGACATCGGCTCT